AGGAATCCTTTTAACTGAGCCCAAGTGCGCTACACAATCAGCATCTAGGTCACATGTCCGGGAGACTGCTAAGAAATCCACTGTAACAGAGTCGCCAAGATGGACAACATGGGCCGCGATCAACAGCCAAGCGTAAACACCAATCCCCTACATGCAGAACGTATACGAATGTAGACGCAGTTTCCTTTGGAACTCATACACAGGTTGACCACAAATCCGGCGTTTGAGCACAAATGGCAGGAGCCTAAATGTATTGTTCATGAATAGCAGCCTCCAAAAAAGCACCAGAAACGGTCACAGAAGGATGCTGCGGCATCAAGCAAGTTCACTTCACTGCTTGATCAAAAACTCTGGCTGCGGCTCGTAAGAGGCCTGCGGCTGGCCCCAGCTAGACCTGGGCACACGAATGCAATGAGCCCTGGCAGCCTTACTGCCAAGAACATGTGTCTGTGGAAACGGCCAGTGGATGAAGAACACCAGCGTGTCGCCCACCTGCTCAGACAGCTCCGGACTGACGAGAATTGCGCAGGACAGTGAGTAGGAGCAGAAGCAAGTCTCAACAGAACAAATGTCAAGCCTTGCCTCTTTGCACTTCTTGCCACTGCTACTACAAATGCTACTTCACTTCACCCTTGGGAGGCTGCAGCTCTCAGACCCCGGCACCAACTTTGGCGGTCTCGAGAACTGAGCCATAAGCGTAGACCTCCTGACCTCACGAGTGAAACATGCCGCCGTCCGCACCAAAGCCCTGGGTCCACAATATTCGAGGAACGTACCACAAATGGCGTAAGCCTCTGCACAGGCGATGATGCCTGCCTGTGCAAACAACTCAAGCAACTTCTTGATATCTGGCTGCAAGACTCATCGAACTTCGATTACTCTTTTGCATCGCTCTGCTTTTATTCTAGTCTAGTGATGATACCCCTGAATCCTACACTCCAAAACCTACACCCAAAACCACACACAAGCCCAAACCTGACCCTAAATGGCGAACTGTGTATGAGCAGCAGAGTGAAGGCCTCGTTAGTTGCAGATACATTGAGGACCAAGCATGCATCGACAAATGAAAAACCGTAGTCCGTAAGTGCTGAAGCTGTACCAATGCAGTGTGCAAGACCGCATGTGCTGTGATGGCGGCATGGCGAAGACAAGATTTGCAAGCTTGGAAGCTTCGTTGAAGTCTGCGGCTAAAACTCCACCATAAACTCTTTCGACGCGAAGTTATGATGATACATGAACTGACACGCTGTTGATGGCAGCTGCGCAGAGCAGGTTTGGTCTGACTGCAACAGGATTCCGTCTTGCAGCAGCTGACATGCTGGCTTTCAACACATGCGTCCACGAAAAGAAAAGGAGGATACCTCCTCCGCGGCCCGCCTTCTTCTCTGTGTTGTAGTTGCGAAGCCGGCCGACAAAGCAAGGCCTCAAAGCCGACTGACAGGATGATAAAAAAGGCCGGAATGCGAGGCACTCCAGATCGGGCTTCTTTGGAGACTGCAAGAACCCAGGAGACACTCCTCTAAAGGGCCCCGCTCTCCCCAGGCAATCTTGGTCGCTACCTGGCAGACATTCAAGGTACTGAGTTGTTTGGACACGCCTGCCCTGCCTACCATCCTCCCAAACATCAAGAGCCCCATTCGGGCCATCATGTATAGGCACGGTTGCAGTTGCAAACTCTGAAATTATTGAGTGCAACCTTCACGCTGGCCTTCAAAGTCAGGAAAACCCTACTCAAATCAGGCAGGCCCTAAACAAGCGTGGGCTAGAACAACCCGCGATTCTAGACCATGTTCAACCAGCAACAGCATGCGCATCATTAGTTTCTAGTCATCAGATCGAGCATGATGGAAACTCAGTTGAGCGTCTAAAAGCCAAGCAATGGCTGGGATCGGCCTTGCCCTTCTTTCCCTTTCCTCAGCGTCAGAGCAAAAAAAGCCAACTAGTGTCGGGAAAGCATAGTGATCGTGCAAGCCATTTCCACTGTAGGAACAAAACACAAGCCCTTCGGTTTCTAGCATTAGCCCTGCTGCTGGCTTTGAGAAATATACCAGGCTAACAGACATCCATTCCACCTCTAAGGCAACCCAGGCTCCCTTGCCCTTTCCTTTGCCTTTGCCTCCTTCTTTGCCTTTGGCATCCTGTAAGAGGCGTTGGCTACAATTGCGCTGCGCAATCTGGAAAACATACGAAGAGCCGCTCTGCAGGGCTACCAAAAGTGCTTTTGCCAACAAGATAGAATTCTTCCCCCGCCTCGCCGTCGCCAGTCTTCTCACCACCTCTGCACTTTGACAGACCCCTTGATTCTATTACAGGCCGCTGTCAAAATCCGGCACTGCCCCAGGAGTTAAGCACCCCCTCCCACAAGACCTCTGAGGATTAAGGAGTCTTCTGGCGCTATCACACAGTTCCCTCCTTCTTGATCCTGGCTTTGCTGCTTCTGAGAATTTCCTGCGATGCTTTTATTGAGACAGAAGCATCAACTTTTTACAGACACTAATGCACCAGCTCAAAGCGCCTTTTTCTTTGTCTCCTTTCCCTCTATCTTTGCCCTTTCCCTTGCCACCTGAGGCGAACACCAGATTGCCAACAAAGCAACTTTGCAGCGATGTGGCTCAGCAATTGCAAAAAACATCGCCCAGATGCGAAGCTTGTGAAACTGGGTAGAATTTGAGCTCAAATTCCTGACAAAAATGCATCTGAGTTCTCCACCCTTCTTGCCATCCTGCAAATCAGAGCAGGCAAAGGTCACACAAACGACATGGCTTGACTTCCAGACTCAGCTAGGCGGTAAAGCTCTCTATCCATTGTACTCTACGCTCACTATAGCGAGATCTCGTAGTCTGTCCTTTCCGCGGGCATTGCCGCCAGAGGACCTTTCACCTGCGCACTGTTTTCAGCTAATGATCTAGAACCTAGAACTATGTGCATGGTAGCATGCTGCAGATGCTGATCTACTGACCGACCAGCTGATACTCGACATCAGCTGCTAAGACGGGATAAAGATCAAAAGCCGTGCTTTGGAGGCTATGCGAAAGTCGGGAAGCCTAACTGGCAGGAAGGAAAGCACATTAAATGATACCCTATAACGGAATGCCCGAATGAAACGCTGTAGAACAAACCAAGCTGTGTCAAGCCCCTCGCCTTTCGAATCTGTCCGACCTGGCGGCTTCCGCCTCCAGCTGTCAACAAGCATTCCACTTGAATTGAACAGACTGCATTGCAGCACGTCCAGGGCGTCACGTAAAACTGGATTAGACTCTCTTCCAAACAACTGCAAGCAGCGAGTGTGAACGATCTTGTGCAATCCAACTGCCATCAACTTTTATTCCCTGAACTGCCTGTACAAGGGTGCTACTTTTCCCACTGGGAATCTGTACACGAATGATTGATGGTGTGAAACCACGCACTGCTCTTCTGCACAAAGCCATGCTAAGTTCACGAAGCTGCTGTTGAAATCAATGCAGAACTTGGGATGTGATGTGGCACCAGATCTGCAGCTGGAAAATCTAGAACATTAGTTGATCCACTGCCATGAAAAGAGAGGCTGTGTCTTGCATGTCCCATGCGCAACGTTCCCGTAAGCTTGCCAACTCTTCTTCATCGTCCTCGAAAATTGTGGCCTAGGCAGATGGCACAAATGGCATTTATTCAAATGAAGGCACATCCTTGCACAAGTTCCTTTCGAGCTTGAACAAATGCTTTCATCATGGTATTCTGACACATGTGCAACATTTGTGTGGGCAGGCCTTGCAAAGCTTCCCCTCGCTCCAGTGACGCTCCAGGCAAGGCATGCCGTACGTTCCGAGACCAGGGATGGCCTTTCCAAAAAATACGTGATACAGTACTGTTGGCATGTCACTTGTACCAATTTCGAATATCTTGTTGATGACACAGATGTTGGCGCAACAAAACACTCTCCAATCTACGAACGGCTTCAACTCAAGTGTTCCCTGCTAAGGAAAACTCACTGGCTAAACACGTGACTGCCATCGTCACCAAAAACGGTGGAGGTTGCCCTTAAATAACTACACTCCGTTCTTCATGCAGGCATACACTGCCTGGGAATTGTCTTTCCTCTCTTGGGCACTAGGTTTTGTTCTGCGAATCCTGAACGTTTGCATAGCGCAATCTTGCGCATCCAGCCGGGCTTGCTCAAGCTGCTCTGGCACATTACTTCCCATACCACTTCCCATACCTGTACCTTGCAGAGATTTTAACTACCCAAGCCGAAAAAACCTTGGCAAAGACACGTGAGAACGTTTTGGCAACTGTTTCATACATGCCTAATATGGAAGGTGCATCTCCAATACATTGCTTCACGTCAAAAAGCTGCAAATTCCAAGAACGGCATTACATCGTCATCTTGTCTGGCCCTCTCCTGGACAAAAGAAACAACAGCTCAAATACTATCAGGTTTCCTTCGGGATAACAGCTTTGGTTATCCTCACAACTCTGGATCCCTCCCTTCCCTGTGTCCACATGGTGTTCAGTTCTTCATCCCGAGAAGTCATGACAAGTCTGCCCAAGTTTTCATCTGGTATGTCGTACTGGAACGGTTATGTTTTTCCCGTCTTCCACCAAAGGTAATTCTGACCATGCCACTCACTCTCCGTACGATTTGCAATGAGATATTGCTGGCCTCTTCTTTTGAAACGTCCTTGCGGATTGTTTTTTCCTTCGCGTGATTTGCGTCCTCGCTTCTGCTCCTGCTGCTCCTCCTTCAGCTGCTGCTGCGGCTGCTGCTGCGGTGGTTGCACTGCACTCTCTATGTTCGAGATTTTGACAAGTTCATTGTGCATTGCTGGTGCAGCATATCTAATGGGGATCAGCTTCTTTCTTTCCTTCACCCACGCAATTTGAAGCTAATAGGACGCGGCCCGCTGCGAGAAAAAAAAAAAAAAAA